CAACACAGAGAGAGAGAGAGAGAGAGAGACTGAGAGAGAGCCACACACACATGCACACAAGTACACACAAATCCAGGCACAGAGAGACACGCAGTGACTCACACAGAGAGTGAGAAACAATAATAATCATAATAATCCTCGCATTTGATACGTCTTTGAGACGCCTCAAAGCACTTCACAGAATATACTGTAAAGTGAATTGACCGTATGTTTTGTGGACGAAACACGGCAGCCGATTGCGCACAGCAGTGTCCCACAAATAGTCGTGGATTGAGTGACCAAATTATTTTTCTTTTATTGAAGGAATTATTATCCCCGGAAAAACGATCCGCAAATCGACTAACAACCGGATTCCTACTTACTGCTTAGGTAAACAGAGGCTTGTCGAGTAAGGAAACTTGCCCAACATTTCGCCCTGTCGGGAATCAAACCCAGGTGCTCCAGTGTAGCTCTCCAACCACTGCACTACGGGAGTCCACAAGAAAGAGTCAGAAAGAGAGAGAGACACACACACACAGCTACACAGAAAGGAAAAAATACACACATCTGTCCCTCTGTCTCTGTGTGTCTCTACCTGTGTGTGTGTCTCTCTCTGTTTGTCTGAAAATCTCACTATCTTGATTTCAGAACAGAGAGACAGAGAGACAGATAAACAGAGAGAGAGAGAGAGAGGCAGACGGACAGACACAAACTTACCCGTATCGTCCTGTCTGCACCAAAAATGAAACCAAATAAAGGTTCCTGGCAGCGATGTAAGTGGTTGAGATGTGACTGCGTTTTTCCCTTCAGAGAAGTATTTCAAGAGAGTGACGAGGTAGAGAGCAGCAACAAAATGCAGAACAGGTTATGCAAAATCAGTAAAGTGTGAGCTGTGTTACATACACCCAGTCAGTTGTGACACGCTCGTGTGAGCTATGGCACAATCACTGTGACAGTTTGTTTTTTTGGTGTAAGTGAGTAGCTGTTGGTGCAGTTGAGAGGTTGCGCCATTTACACAGTGAGAGACCCGCCTGGCTGTTCTGCTCTTCAACTTCCTGCATGTACCTCACTCCACCAATGGTGGAACAGTGGGCACGAAGATCTTGAAATCGATCCATTTTGGCGATAGGGAATCAGTGGAGTTTGGCAGGAATGCACACGCAACTACAGACGTGGGCAAAGAAGGACAGCTGTGTTGAACATGATGCCTAGATTGCGCACCGGTTTGGTAGGTCTGAGGGATAGGCTGGGGAGGTTGAGATGGTCACAGCCGCAGGCTGGAAGACATTGATGGGAGCCAATGAATATGGCTTCTGTCTTGTCAACATTTAGTTGAAGGACGTTTACGTTCATCCAGACCCTGATGTCCACCAGACAAGCCGAAAGAACATCGGCAGACCTGGAGTCACAGCTGGAGGAGGAGAAATAGACTTGTTTGTCATCCACATACTCGTGGAAGTTCACCCCTTGTCTATGGATAATATCACCAAGAGAGAGCATTTAGATGAGGATTAGGAGGGGGCCAAGTATGGAGCCCTGGGATACACCACAGGTGACCAGGCAGGGGCAGGAGGAGAAACAGTTTGAAGAGATAAAATGAAGGAAATTTGTTAGATAGGATCGAACCAGGCTAGTGCAGTCCCACCAATGTGGATAAGGGAGGAGAGGCGGTGAATGAGGATGGTGTAGTTGACTGTGTCGAAGGTGGCGGAGTTGACTCCTAACCTCCCCATTTGCTTGTTTGCTAACAATCTTAAATTGATGCCCTCTAGTCACTGACTCACCCACCAATGAAAATATTTTCTCTCTATTGACTCCATCAAAACCCCTCATCAATTTAAACACCTTGATCAGGTCACCTTCAATATCACTCGTTCCAGTGGAAAAAATGCCAGTTCCTCCAGCCTCCACTAATAAGCCAAACCACCCAGTCCTGATATCATCCAAGTAAATCTCCTCTGCATCCCCTCTGTTGCCTTGACATCTTTCCTAAAGTGAAGCGAAGAATATTGGATGCAATATTCTAACTAACGATTTATGTAAGTTTAAGGTCATCTCTTTGCATTTATATTCTACCCATCTATTTATAAAACTGACCAAAGCAGCTGCTGCCTGTGCTCAACAGGTACCTGCTCACAGCTCCCCCCACCCTGCTCTGCCCACCTCCGCCAGTGGAACCTCCAGCCAATCTGCCCTGCTCTCTGGAACACCATCCAGGAGTCCCTTTCATATGCCTCTGGACATGAAACACGCTGTAAAAATGTAAGTTTGTATTGTGCTGACTGTTAGTAAACCAGTTGGTGGTTACAAGTATGTTAGAGATTGTGAAAGTTGGGCTCAGCCTTGCCGTGACCCTCCTCTGAGTAAAATGAATCTGTGTTTTTCTTATTTTGGATCTAATTTGCATTTTAATAATAGTAGCTGACAGACAGAGCTCAATGTGTGAAGAACAGCAGCCCCATGGGTCTTCTCAACCAAAGAGTTCTGTAGACACGATGGGGAGAGAGCAGGGAATGGGATTAGAGTGCAGAGTTCCAGTGGGAAGCGAGCACCAGTACAGACACGAAGGGGAGAAAGAGCTGCCTCCACGCTGAAAACAAGACAAACTTTATATTTCTAGAGTACGCACAGAGCTCTCTCAGACACTGCACAATAAATAATCATAATATCAATCCCACATTTGATGTAGCACCTTATCGCATTGTCACGTTGCCTGCTTCAGAGGATTTTTTTACTGTAAAGAGCAGATGGAATCAGCCTCAGGATTTCCTGCCAGACATGGTTTCAACATCTTTGAACTTACCGAGTCTGCCTTACAAAGGCCCAAACAACATTCTACTCCCAGGCCATCCTGGAGACTAAAAAATAATGACAAACTCCTGTTCTCCACCACCCCATCTCCTCCTCTACCCCCTCAAATCCCTCGATTCACACCTCCCATGTCAAGTGTTAAGAAGTCTTGGACTACTTTGCATCAAACGTAGAAAACATCCACTTAGCCACATCCTCTTCCTTCCTCCTGACCCTGCCCCTCCCCCACATCTCCTACATTCCCCAAATCTTCTGCTCCTGCCCACCCACTGCCCCCACCTCCCCTCGCCCCTCACATTCATCACCCAAACAAAACCCATCTCCTGCTGCCTCAATCCCTCCCCACCCAGTTGTTGACCATCCGACTGCCTTTTCCTCCTCAATTCTTTTTCCCAATAGTGTCATGGAATCTTTAATGTCGCATCCAAGGGACCTTGGTTTGACGTCACATCTGAACATGGCACCTCCAACAATGCAGCGCTCCCTTGCTTCCCTCTCTACCAGGCCCTTGTAAAATGACCATTCAATGACTATCTTCCTTGGGTAGCGTGGGTCTCCAGGAATGGAATGTCAGAACTGAGTCATCAGCTGTGCTCTGCAGGTCAGAAACCCAGGTCCTGAGCCAAGTCCAGGGCATTGCTGATGATGCAACAGCACAGCCTGGCCAGTCCCTCCTTCCACTCAGCTCCTGTTAACCCTGCAAGCCAAAGCCCTAATGGGTAAGGTGGTCCTAGCTTAACAAGCAGCGGGAAAGCTTGCCAGACACTGCTCTCAATCACAAACCATGTGGTTCAGCTGGTTTGACTCCAGCAGTTACCCCAATAGACACTCTGGGGTACCCAAGCCTTGGCTCTTGCTAACCTGCACCCAATACGCTCTGTAATTCAGTAAGCGGGGTGTGGCCCTCCAGGGAGAGAGTTTGTAACACATCCTCACACAGAGAGAGAGAGACCCTCACACACACATCCTCACACAGGAGAGAGACCTCACACACACATCCTCACACAGAGACCCCCCCCACACACAGAGATAGACCCTCACACACACATCCTCACACAGAGAGAGAGACCCTCACACACACATCCTCACACAGAGAGAGACCCTCACACACACATCCTCACACAGAGAGAGAGAGAGACCCTCACACACACATCCTCACACAGAGAGAGAGAGACCCTCACACACACATCCTCACACAGAGAGAGAGACCCTCACACACACATCCTCACACAGAGAAGAGAGACCCTCACACACACATCCTCACACAGAGAGAGAGAGACCCTCACACACACATCCTCACACAGAGAGAGAGAGACTCCCCTCCTACAGAGAGACCCTCACACACATCCTCACACAGAGAGAGAGAGAGACCCTCACACCACATCCTCACACAGAGAGAGAGAGAGACCCTCACACACACATCCTCACACAGAGAGAGAGAGAGAGACCCTCACACACACATCCTCACACAGAGAGAGAGAGAGACCCTCACACACACATCCTCACACAGAGAGAGAGAGAGAGAGACCCTCACACACACATCCTCACACAGAGAGAGAGAGAGACCCTCACATACACATCCTCACACAGAGACCCCCCCAAACACACAGAGATAGACCCACACACACACAGAGAGAGACCCACACACACGTCCTCACACAGAGAGAGAGAGACCCTCACGCACACATCCTCACACAGAGAGAGACCCTCACACACAGAGAGAGAGACCCTCACACACACATCCTCACACACAGAGAGAGAGACCCTCACACACAGAGAGAGAGACCCTCACACACACATCCTCACACAGAGAGAGAGAGAGACCCTCACACACACATCCTCACATAGAGAGAGAGACCCTCACACACACATCCTCACACAGAGGCCCCCCCACACACACAGAGATAGACCCACACACACACATCCTCACACACACAGAGAGAGTGAGGCCCTCACACACACACAGAGGCCCTCACACACACACAGAGAGGCCCTCACATGAGAGGGAGAGTTACCCTCACACATCCCCGGCCTTTGCACACACAGGCCCACACACCACGTGTACAGAGAGAGACATCCTCGCCCTGAGAGACCCTCACCCCACCCCCCACACAGGGAGAGGCAATCACATGCAACAAATTGCATTTATACAGTGCCTTTCCCATCGGGAGGATGTCCCAAGGCGATGAACAATGGATGCTTTGCACCCGAGCTGGAGATTAGGATCAGGAGGGTAACCAAAGGTGTGGTAGAAGAGGAATATACTGAGGTGGACCTTGAAGGATGCAAAGGAGGGGGGCGAGGCCAAAGGCCCGATCATTGGTGGTGGTGAGGGGAGTGGTGCAGGCGAGTCTGCTGAATGGGCTTAGTGGGGAGGGGCCAGGCCATGGAGGGCTCTTTTTTTTATAAATGTGGACGAGGATCTTGTAACTTGATCCTCTGGGGGATGGGGAGCCAATGAAACTGCGCGAGGATAGGCGCATGGAGCTTGGTGGGGCTAAAACTGCAGAGTTCTGAATAATCTGCAGCTTATAGAGAGAAGAGTTGGGAAGACCGACAAGCAAGGAGTTTGAATAATCTCGAAACACACACGCAAGCTCTCGCTCAAAGTGCAAATGCAAAATAACTTCTGTTTAACCATTACAAATCTGAAGAGAAATATGGAAACTAGGGATAAATGTATATAAATCCCTTTCAATTGCAAGAGAGTGAAAGCAGGGGGCTTCTAATCTATTTTGGATTTGTGAAGAGCAGACTTAAGGGTTCAGATGCGCGCGCACACCTCCAGGGCACCACTATGATGAGATGATGTTGGTAGGGACATCTGATACTTGATGATAATCCAACATCCTGAGTGTTAATCTGGCCCTTGGGTGGTGGCTGAAGGGAGCATTTGAGGAGCTGGAGCTTAATTCTTTGCATTTACTTTTCAGGTTGTGGATGAAGACTGGAGCCAGGTCAGTGCACTATACTAGGGGAGAAATGAGGGATAGACTGATGGGGGGGGCAATGTGTGTGCCTGGGGGTGGGTGGGAGAGACAGACGGTGTGTGCCAGGGGGAGATGGAATGGAATTGCGTGGAAGGAATCTGCTGAAGCCAATGATTATTTTTGAGTAGTGGTCAGAATTGTTTCTGAAAAGTGATTACTGAGGCTTCAGTTGGAGCAGCTGAGATTGAGATGCTGCAATGTTGCCTGATGTATTTAATGGTGTGAATTGGCCTTTTCAGGTTTTGCTGCCTGGAGTCTGTCCATAGGTATGTACAAGATCCATTTATATTTCCATTTTTCAATCTTTTGCTGGTAATTCTCCCTGTAACTGACTAGCAGTCTGTGGGTGCACACCCTCTGGGATGGGCTGATGTTTAGCTGTGGTGGGTTTGGCTTGAAGCAATGTGCAGTAACTGACTGTCTTGTGTGTCTTTCCAGGTGCTGCTGGGCTGTGTGGTCAGTGCTGTGCTACTGCCCAGGTGAGTGGTTAATGAGCGGTGCTGGTTTAAACCAGCTTGTGTGTTGAGCAGATATTAATGATGTGAAAACCATTTGGAATCTCTCTGACAAAGAGTGAAAGAGACGTGTTGTTGCTGAAGCTGCGCCCTGGCTGCAGGGAGAGCGAGCTGCTGTGGCTGTCACTAATCTGCTCCACTCTCACTGTTCACAGGAGGATAGCATGGCATGCCTGACTGACTGACCGCTGTAACCAGGGAAGAGATCAGTGGCTGAGCCCACGGTGTAGCTGGTGAGTCATCAACAACTTGTATTTGTCTAGTGCCCTTCACATAGAATAATGTCATTATCCTGACACTGGGGAGGGGGGTGAACAGACTAACTTTCTGCACAAAAATTAAAGAGACCCAGAGGGGGGGCGGGGGGGGAGTGTGAGGTTCAGGATAGGAAGGAAACAGTCGTGGTCAGAGATTTACTAGTGAGAGTTAGGATCGTGAAATAAATCTGTTGGGAGACCAGAGAAGAGTCTATGAGGAACGATGGGTTTAATCGCTGTGATCGCAATGGCAGGGATTTTTTTTTTGACCTGAAGGGCACTATACAAGTGTCATTTGTTGTTGTTGTCCTGCTCCACAACAAATTACATTTACACAGTGCCTTTCAAGGTCAGAAGGACGTCCCAAAGCGCTGGACAGTTGAGGGTTGTCCCTGAGCTGGCAGTTGGGATCAGTGGGTGGCGGGTGTGAGTGTGGCTGAGTGCTATGGGGCAGAATCTGAGGAAGGAAACTGGGCTTTCAACAGGAAGTGTGGGTTAGGTGCGAGTGCTGTGAGGGTGGAGCCTTGCTGGTAACAGACATTAGTAGTTTGAATCGAGCAGTTTGAAGACATTGCTCTAAATTATGTTATTTGTGCTAAACTGCAGGATATGGGGCCGGGGAGGAGACCTGGGGCTATGGGAGTTGCAGGGAGTTTGTTCCTGATTGGGTTGGTTTTCACTCCTCCTGCTGTGGCTTTGTGCTGGGCAGGCTGGGGAAAGTGGTGGGAGGGAACGGAGCCTGTGCTGTGTGCAGTGATGACCGGTATTTGCTACTCTTGACAGATGATGATGAATTTTTCCGCTAGTTTCTGAGGTGCACACGAGACTTGAAGCAATGTGGTAGTGTGTGTCGTGTTGTATACAGGGACTGACTGTCCGTGTGTCTTTCCAGGTGCTGCTGGGCTGTGTGGTCAGTGCTGTGCTACTGCCCAGGTGAGTGGTTAATGAGCGGTGCTGGTTTAAACCAGCTTGTGTGTTGAGCAGATATTAATGATGTGAAAAGCATTGGGAATCTCTCTGACAAAAAGTGAAAGAGACGTGTTGTTGCTGAAGCTGCGCCCTGGCTGCAGGGAGAGCGAGCTGCTGTGGCTGTCACTAATCTGCTCCACTCTCACTGTTCACAGGAGGATAGCATGGCATGCCTGACTGACTGACCGCTGTAACCAGGGAAGAGATCAGTGGCTGAGCCCACGGTGTAGCTGGTGAGTCATCAACAACTTGTATTTGTCTAGTGCCCTTCACATAGAATAATGTCATTATCCTGACACTGGGGAGGGGGGTGAACAGACTAACTTTCTGCACAAAAATTAAAGAGACCCAGGGGGGGGCGGGGGGAGTGTGAGGTTCAGGATAGGAAGGAAACAGTCGTGGTCAGAGATTTACTAGTGAGAGTTAGGATCATGAAATAAATCTGTTGGGAGACCAGAGAAGAGTCTATGAGGAACGATGGGTTTAATCGCTGTGATCGCAATGGCAGGGATTTTTTTTTTGACCTGAAGGGCACTATACAAGTGTCATTTGTTGTTGTTGTCCTGCTCCACAACAAATTACATTTACACAGTGCCTTTCAAGGTCAGAAGGACGTCCCAAAGCGCTGGACAGTTGAGGGTTGTCCTGAGCTGGCAGTTGGGATCAGTGGGTGGCGGGTGTGAGTGTGGCTGAGTGCTATGGGGCAGAATCTGAGGAAGGAAACTGGGCTTTCAACAGGAAGTGTGGGTTAGGTGCGAGTGCTGTGAGGGTGGAGCCTTGCTGGTAACAGACATTAGTAGTTTGAATCGAGCAGTTTGAAGACATTGCTCTAAATTATGTTATTTGTGCTAAACTGCAGGATATGGGGCCGGGGAGGAGACCTGGGGCTATGGGAGTTGCAGGGAGTTTGTTCCTGATTGGGTTGGTTTTCACTCCTCCTGCTGTGGCTTTGTGCTGGGCAGGCTGGGGAAAGTGGTGGGAGGGAACGGAGCCTGTGCTGTGTGCAGTGATGACCGGTATTTGCTACTCTTGACAGATGATGATGAATTTTTCCGCTAGTTTCTGAGGTGCACACGAGACTTGAAGCAATGTGGTAGTGTGTGTTGTGTTGTATACAGGGACTGACTGTCCGTGTGTCTTTCCAGGTGCTGCTGGGCTGTGTGGTCAGTGCTGTGCTACTGCCCAGGTGAGTGGTTAATGAGCGGTGCTGGTTTAAACCAGCTTGTGTGTTGAGCAGATATTAATGATGTGAAAAGCATTGGGAATCTCTCTGACAAAAAGTGAAAGAGACGTGTTGTTGCTGAAGCTGCGCCCTGGCTGCAGGGAGAGCGAACTGCTGTGGCTATCACTAACCTGCTCTACTCTCACTGTTCACAGGAGAATAGCATGGCCTGACTGACTGACTGACCCTGTAACCTGGGAAGTGAGCTGGTGAGTGAATAACAACTTTTATTTCTCTGGTGCCCTTCACATAGAATAATGTCATTATCCTGACACTGGGGAGGGGGATGAACAGACTAACTTTTGAAATGGGATTTAAAATGAGGGGTGAGATTGAGGTTCAGGCTGGTTGGGTGGTGGGGGAGGGAAAAGAGTAACCAAAGGGGTCAGAGGTTTGGGAAAGAGAATAGATTTACGGGTGAGGATTGGGAACTTGAAGTCAATCTGTTGGGAGACCATAGTGCATGAGGAATGATGGGGTTAATGGCTGTGATGGCAGTGACAAAGCAGTCCTGTTCAGCAACAAATTGCATTTACATGTCAGAAGAACATCCCAAAGCGCTGGACTGTTGATTCCATCCAAGCCGACAAACCCCTGATAAAATCGGTTACTCACTCCATGGCTGTTTACGGGACACAGGCTGCTGGGGTGGTGGAAGGAAGAGTCACGCAGAGGAGGGGGGGAGTTGATGATGAGATGATGATTGCATAGTTCAGCAGATAATGATGAAGACAATGAGTTTCGTCTTTCGCTCTTATCTGACTTGACCTCTCCTTCAGAAAGTGGCAATCTGCTGCTGACGTTCTTGCTCTCAGCTTGATTGTTTGTCTTACAGATGCCGTCGCTGGTCCCTGGCATAAGGACCACACCTGTCTGCAGGTGAGGAGGCTGTTTTGGAAGAGGGGGTCACTGGGGGAGTGGGGGGAGGCGGGGAGCTGCCTGGAATCGAGCAGTTTGAAGACATTGCTCTAAATGATGCGTGAATCAGGTCTCTGATAACATGAGGACAAACAATCTCACTGATAGACACAGCTGCTGCCTTTTGCCAACTAGCTGCTGGCTTTTCACCTGTCTAATTGCTGCCTTTCCTCTTTACCAGTGAGCTGTGGCCGGTGCTAGGAACACAGTGAGTATTATGCTTAATTCACACACACAAACTGATCTCACTGCGGGGGGGGGAATGTGGCTCCCATTGGTGGAGTGCAGATGACTACTGCATCTCCCAGTGTGAGCAGTGATTAGTGGGGGGGGTGGTCTGGGTGGGGACGAAGGCTCTATGTGTGGAGCAGCGGGCAATGTGAGTTGCTGGGGGGAGCTGAGGATGAGATGATGATTGCATAGTTCAGCAGATAATGATGACGACAATGAGCTTTGTCTTTCGCTCCTATCTGACTTGTCCTCTCCTTCAGAGGGCGGCAATCTGCTGCTGACGTTCCTGCTCTCAGCTTCACTTTTTGTCTTACAGATGCCATCACTGGTGCTGGTGTGAGGGCCACACTTATCTCAGGTGAGGGGCTCATTGTGATGGGGTGGGAAGGTCTCTGAGGGGGAAGACGGGGCGCTGCTGAAAAAAAAGTAGCTTGAAGCATTGCTCTATATGATGTGTGAATCAGGTCTCTGATACATGAGGACAAACAACCCCACTGATAGACACAACTGCTGCCTTTTGGGCACCACACCTCAGGAAAGATGTATTGACCCTGAAGGGGGTGCAGCGGAGGTTCGTCAGAATGTCACCAGGCCTAAAAGGATTAAATCACAGGAAAAGGCTGCGTAAACTTGGATTGTATTCCCTTGAATTTAGAAGGTTGAGGGGTTATTTGATTGAGGTATTTAAGATGACAAAGGGATTTGATAGGGTAAATACAGAAAAGCTGTTTCCTCTGGTGGGGAATCCAAAACAAGGGGCATAGTTTTAAAATTAGAACCAGGCCATTTAAGAGTGAAATCACAAAGCATTTTTTTACTTAAAAGGGTGGTAGAAATCTGGAATCCTCTCCCCAAAAAGGCCATGGATGTTGGATCCATCCACACCTTCAAAAGTGAGGTTGATAGATTTTTGGTAGTTCGGGGTATTATGGAATATGGGAGAAAGTGGGAAAATTGAACTCGAAGTTGAGGTACAGATTGGCTATGATCTAATTAAATGGTGGAACAGACTCCGAGGGCTGAATGGCCTACTCCTGTGTCTAAGTGTTGCCTTTGCTCTTCCCTAAGGATCTGTGGCCGGTGGTAGGAGCACAGTGAGTATTGTGGTTTATTCGTGCGCGCGCACTGAATTGAGTGCCTGTGTGATGAGATCTAGAGACTGAGTGACTGTGAAGTGTTCTAGTATTAGCTCTAACTGACGGGCAGGTGACTGCTGTGTGTGTGTGTGATGTTCTGATTCTCCATCAGTCTGACCTGAGATTTGTTACAGGTGAAGAGTGGAGGAGGTGCAAGAGGCCAACAGGTCAGTCTCGCTGCAGGGTGTGGGGGGGGGGGGTTGCTCCTGGTGCTGGGGGGGCACAGTTTATCACATTGCGGCAGCATTTCAGTGTGGTAGTGGTGGGAACTGTTTGTGTGTGAGGGGACTGTGGGTAGTGTGTGCAGGGGTGGCTGTATGGGGGGTGTCGGGGGGAGTGTGAGCTCACTAGGCAGTGCTGGGAAGGCTATTGTACCAGGATGAGATGATGATTGCATAGTTCAGCAGATAATGATGACGACAATGAGCTTTGTCTTTCGCTCCTATCTGACTTGTCCTCTCCTTCAGAGGGCGGCAATCTGCTGCTGATGTTCCTGCTCTCAGCTTCACTTCTTGTCTTACAGATGCCATCACTGGTGCCGGGGTGAGGGCCACATGTGTGCAGGTGAGGGGGCTGCTCCAGGGAGAGAGTCACAGGGGGGGGTGAGAAGAGTCACCGAGGGGCAGGGAGCTGTCTGGGGGAGTGATGTGATGAGCAACTTCTATCTGGGGGACATGCAGCTGGTTGTAATTTGGGGTGTTGGATGAGGGTGACAGTATAATGTGTGAAACCAATGATGACAGTGATTCTGCCATATGAGTCCGAATGATTCTACAGAAAGTTCCATTTTATACTGAGGTTTCACAGATCCAAATAAAGCTGGGTGATTATTGGTGTTGCTTGTTGCTGACTGTGTATGTGTGGTGTGTCTTTTCACAGGGCCTGTGCTGGCTCCAGGAATCATGGGCACATTAGTGCCTCTGCACTAACAACTTGCATTTATGTAGTGCTCTTCACATGGGGTAGTGTCCTGGAGCGCTAACTAATTACTGGTGAGTTTACTGATGTGCTTGAGGGGTTTGTTGAGCAAATTGGGTTATTGGTTTGTCATTTAGTGCAGAATCCACACATGAGGGGAATCTATTGGATAATGTGAACAAATGCACAGGGAAAGGATGAAATATTTTGAACTCTCTCACTGACTTGTGATGAAATAAACTTCTGATTCTGTGCAATCAGCCAGGCTGCAGATCTGGGTAAGCAACAGAGTAAAGGAAGGCTGCTCACATGTCATTCTTGGCTGTTGCAGGTGGAGAAGATTCTGGACTGGGAAGAAATCTGGCTTCAACACGCTTGTATGTTGTACCTGGAATTAAAGTTCAGTTTTTTAATCTGTGCTTCCTGCTTCTCTCTTCACTTTGGACCATTGTGGTTGGGGGGAATAAAGCAGAGAAATGGAAGTGTATTGATATGGTTCAGTCATTCTCTTACCTTGGAGTCAGGTTGTGGGTTGAAGCTCCAGTGCTGTGCTGCATTGTTGGGAGGTGCTGTTGTTCAGATGAGATCTTAAACTGAGGTCCCATCTGCCTGTTCAGGTGGATGTTAATGATCCCATGGGGATACTGGAAAAGAGGAGTTTCCCTCCTGGAGTCCTGGCCAACAATCCTCCATATACAATTGGTCATTGCTGTGTACAAACTAGCTGTGCATTCTACTAGTTGCAGTGTATGCTGTTTTGGGATTTTCTCAACATGAAAGGTGCTAAACCAAATAAAAGGAATGTTGTTATAATTCTGGCTCATAACCTGGGCCAATAGAAAAGTGGAAATATTTGCCTAAAATTCCAGGGGAAATTTGACAAATTTTCCAGGGAGTTGATTGGTGCTATTCAAAGGTATGTTTTACTGCTAACCTACATTTTTTCACTTTGATAAAAAGCTAACTATGAGGAAATACCACAGATTAGATTGTTGCATTTTTTTATTTTAATAAAAACTTGGGGTGCACTTAGTGGGACACACCATCCCAGGCCCAAAAGGCCTGAAGATCTGCCAAAAAAACACTTGGACAGGACCAGTGTCCTGACTTCGGGGCTCCAGCGCTCACCACCTTCTGCCTCTCGGGTCTGGCCCTGCACAGACGGACACATTCACAGAGACTCAACATCCAGAGGAGGAAGACAGACTCGCAAACAGAGAGAATGAACTGGAGCTTCCGAATGGAGTGAAGCCCATTCCGTGCAGGTGGATCTGGAGCTGCTTGGCCCACAGTGGGGCAAACAGCCGGCAGAGGCCCCAGGCCAGAAACTTCATTATTTCGCAGGTTTCTAGTGGATTACGCAGAAAAATTGCAGCCGCCCTCTTCCATTGGCCCAGATCATAACTACAGCAGCAGTTTGACAAGGGGCAGCACCATCCTGAACTACCTCCACGATCTCTGCACGAGATCTCTGACCTCCCAACCTTAGTCATCAACAAATTACATTTGTATAGCGCCTTTCACATCAGGGCATCCTAAAGTGATGGACAGTCAGGGATCCCCACCTGAGCTGGTGGTTGGGATCATGAGGCGGGGAGGGTGACCAGAGATGAGTCTTGAAGTCGATGCTGTATTCACTGCAGTCTTGCAGACGCATGATTCGGTTCATTCTAATTCTTGTGCTCCCAATATTCCACAGCTTCACATCAGGCAGCAAGTGTACAAACGCCTGCCTCCACCGCTAATTCTGGCTGCTTCACACCCTCTGTCGTGTTGGCCGTTCCTGCTTTGTCCTCTTGCAAATCTTCCTGAATCCCTCCAGCGTTCTCTTTCCAACCACCAATCCCAGCCTCTGGCCTTCAGCTGTGATAGTGGCTTCCTGTCCTGGTGGAGCCCCTGCTGCCAGCTGTGTGGAGAGCACTTTACACTCGGGCAATGTCTTGCATTCATTATTTAATAAAGAGGTATTTAAGATGGAAAAATCCTTCAGTTATGTAAAGCGATATCACGTTGAGACACTATTCACACTACACGATGAGTAAGCCTTCCTGGGTATCAAACCTACCTGCGACTCCTTCCTGAAAAGTCTTTCCACCACATTCAATTTCACATTCAAAAGAAATGTACAGGACTCGCAAAATGTTACAGCACAAGAGCCGGGCCTCTCGCTGGCCTTTATCCCATCTCCACTGACAGCTGTTTGCACCAAGTGTGAATGCCAGGCTAGCTGAGCGGGGACCTGCCCAGATCGTCAAGAGAAATCAACCCCCAATCCCCCACACCAGGACTTTCAACCCCTGAATCCACACACAACCCAGTATGTGGCTTCACCTGCAGAACGGCAGCTGAGCTTTGCTGGCATACAATGAGCAGGGCTGGCACACAGCGAGCAGGGATGACACAGAGTAAGCAGGGCTGGCACACAGCAATCAGGGTTGGCACACTGCAGGCAAGACTGGCGTGGCCCTTTGCCAAGCCCTGGGGCTGGGTGTGTCTCAGGTGGGGCCTGTGGTGGAGACATTGTGAACCACCTCAGGCCCCTCCTGTGCTGGAGACCGGGAACCGTTGTGGCCGCGCGAGGCAGGGTCCGGGGAGCTCGGATGGTTCTTCTTGAGGTGCTGGTTGAGGATGGCCTGGAAGGGGAAGCTCTTGCCACACGCATGGCAGTGGAAGGGTTTGTTTCCCGTGTGCTTGCGGATGTGATACTCCAGCTGGTCTTTCCGTGTGTACTTTTTGCCACAAATACGACACACAAAGGGAGTGATGCCCATGTGCAACCGCATGTGCCGGTCCAGGCTGCCCTTCTGGTTGAAGGACTTGCCGCAGTACAAGCAGGTCAGCCGTGGGTTATACCGGTACCAGCGCTCCGTCACCTCCTGGTCTCGTAGATACTCCTCATAGCCTCCGCCTCCCACCACCGCCTCGTCCATCTTGAGAGAGAACACGATCTGCTCAGCAACACACATGGGCAGCCCACACGCACACAACACCCTATACCCTACAACACCGAGGCAGACCGCACTACACACACACCAAACACTCTACACACCCAATATCACACACCCACCCAACACTTCACACCCACCCAACACCCCACACTCACAAAACGCCCCACACCCTACACACACACAGGCAGACCGCACGACACACTACACACACACGCTAAGAAGAGGTGGAGGCGGGAAATGGGAAGGCACACAAACATACCCATGCATACACACACACAGTAGGCATTATAGACTGTGAATGAGACTGAATGACAGACCCACCTGTACACTGGGCTGTTTCTGCTCCTCTCCTTTGCTGGGAGACTCGCTCCTGGCTCTGTGCCGCTCAGAACCAGTGCACAGACTGCCAGAGGGGCTTAACCTGCAGAGAGGACACAGAGATTACCCACATCACCACTGACAGCCAGCACTGCGCGGGGCAGCTACTGTACACTGTGCTGTGGGCACAGCTGTGTGGATTTAATGCTGCACAGTGAGGTTGCAGTGAACGTGTGGTGAGGTTGTGGGGGAGTGTGCTAGTCGGGGGGACGCCTGGAGAAGTGTGGGGGAGCGTGTAGTGAGCATGGAGGGGGGGGGGAGAGTGTGTGCTAACCTGGCGGTCTCGCTGAAGCTGCTGGCTGGGCGGGAGCCCCTGTGGCGGGCAGTGATGGCAAAGTGCTGTTGGGGGCGGGTGTGACCTGTGCCCTCCTCGGCTCCGCTCCCAGCCTCTCCACAGACCAGCCACTCGTCAGGAGTCTCCGTCTTGATCCTCACACCGTCCTCCGCGTCGCGATCTGCTGCCGCCCCCGTCTCCACATACCACTGACCCACGCGGTTAATGCGCACAAACTGCTCCTTGCCGAAGGGGCTGCTGTGGGGGCAGTGCTGGCTGCGGCCCCCACCCGGCGAGGTGGCTCCTTCTGCCCGGCTGTGCAGAGAGCGGAGGGCCGCGGGGGGGCTCTCACTGTCCCGGGCGGGCCGCTGGCTGTGGCGGAGCTGGGCTGCCAGGCCGGCCATGTTGATGTTGATGTTGATGTTGAAGTGGATGGTGTCCAGGATGTGGTGCACTGGTCAATGATGTACTGCATCTGCAGGAAGCTGGCGGCAGTCAGGTAGCTGATGATGTCGGCCACCTGCAGGCACAGCCTGCCCGTGTAGCAGAAACACAGCAGTTGCTCGAACACCAGCGGGTTCTTGATGATGGAGATGGAGACGGAGCTCATTTCGCTCAGCGCCATGTGGTCCCGGAAGTACGGCGAGCTGGCGGCCAGCACCACCTTGTGGGCACGGAAGCACTGGTCCTGGATATTCACCACAATGTCACACAGCCGTCCCTGCAGCCGCAGCTCGTTCATCTGGGCCAGCACCGTGCTGCCAAAGTCAGCCACCTCCAGCTCAATACTGTTCCCTTTCTCCATAGCCTCCCGCCAGCCTCACACACCTGCAGGGCACCACCCACAGCTCACGCACAATATGCACACAGCCTGCACACAGCTCACACTGTACACACACAGCTTGTACACAGCACGCGGGCGTACAGCCTTTATACACCACGCAGCCTGTACACAGGGCGCAGCCTATACACTTCACGCAGCCTGTACACAGCGCGCAGGCGGACAGCCTGTACACAACGCACGGGCGCACAGCCTATATATAGCATGCGCACAACAGTCTGTACACAGTACAACACTATATATGCACATAGCCTGTACACAGCACACAAACTGTACACACACACATAGCCTGTACATACTGACATGACTCAGATACAGACACACCTCACAGACACACTGACATACCTGAAAGACACAGAGGGTGAGAGAGCACGGGGGTGGCGGGGAGAGCAGGGCAGAGAGAGAACGAGGGGGAGAGAGAAGGGGGGAGAGAGAGCGAAGGGAAGAGAGAGCAGGGGAGAGAGCGAGGGGAGCAGAGAGAGAGGTGGTGTGGTGGGGGTGCTGAGCAGAGGATCTTTCAGATCATAGCCAGGAACCAACGACTCACCTTGGAGATGTTCTCCTTGCGTTGGTCACAGAATTCTCTCTGAGTCAGTGTTCCACAGTGCAATTGTGGTGTCTCTCCATAAGAAGGGTGGCCCTAGTGAGATTGAGAACAGAGAGGGACCTCACTGATTTCAGTGGCTCTTAAAGTGGTGCTTCGGATAGTTACTGCATGTGTATTGAACAGTTTGATCAAAAAGGAGCTGGCTGCCTTCCGTTCTCGTGAGGAACGTGTGAGACAGGTTGCGACTCTGTACGAGATTGCAGAATACAATGCAATACAAAATAATATTTACACAGCGCCTTTCATGTTTGGAGGACGACTTAAGGTGCTGGACAGTCAGGGATTTAGACCCGAACAGGGAGTAGGACAGTGGTCGAAGACGCGGTCGAAAAGGAGGGTCTTGAGGCATGCCTGGAAGGAGGCAAGGGAGGGAGCGAGGCGAGGGAATGTGGGACGGAGATCAAAAGGGTGGGGGCAGAGAGCCTAACCGCCGATAGTGGGTCGAGTTGGGCGGGGGACGTGGAGCAGGCCATAGCCTGCTGAGTGGAGTGGGCGGACAGGTTGATATGAGGTTAGCAGGTCACAGAAGCGAGGGGAAGGCCATGAAGGGCCTTGAAAGTGAGGATTTTGAACTATCCTCTGGGGGATGGGAAGCCAGTGGAGCTGAGCGAGGGTAGGGGTGATAGGGTAATGGAGGCAGAGCAGTTGTCGGATATCAAATGACTATCTAGTGACTATCCACCTTGGGTGGTGATGGTGGTGTAGCAGAGTGTGTGCTTGGAGCTGAACTGGCTGATGTTTGGCAATCGAGCCAGTCCTCTCTAGTCCGGTTCCTGAGCCAGTTGGGTCCACAGTATTCCAGGGGACTGCTGATGACAGCATGGCCAGCCTGTCTTATCAGCAGGACTTGGAAGGTCAGACCAGTCACTGGTGACAGGGAATTCACCCACTCAGCTCCTGTTAATCCTGTAAGCTAAAGGCCTGTTGGGAAGAGTGGTCCTAGCTGGACAAGCAGTGGAAAAGCTTGCCAGGAAGTGCTCTAACGGCAAGCTATGTGGTTTTAGCTGGTCAGATTCCAGCAATTACACCAATGCACACTCTGGTGTCCCCCAAGTCTCTCGCCAAGTCTCAGTTCCTAATATTCTCCGGAAGAAATGCGCATTCCATTCCAATTCATGAGAATTTCCATATTTAGATGGGATGCATGGAACTGTCTGGTTTCAATACTATGAAGCACAGTGATGGGTTTCCGGCGTGTTACAGAGACCTGGCTGCCCAGGGTGTGTTTGTGGGGGGGAATCTGCTGGTTGTGGGCATACATAGGGCAGGCGTATCAGAGTGCGTGCGTGCATAGGAGGGCCATTGACAAGGGTGTGGAAGGGTGTGGGCGTGCGCGGGGAAGGGGTGGCGGGCTGTGTGTGTCCAAGAGGGCGGGGGACAGCATGCCTGACACTCATCACCCCCTGCCTGACACTCACCAATGTCCAGACATCTGTATTGTATAACCTGCTCCAGCAGTCCACCATGACACCAGCCTGCAGCCTGTAGCCATTATCTTTTGCCAGAATAAAGAGACAAAGCTAGAAAAGAAATACACAACCTAAAGCAGCCTCTGCAAACTGGAGAGACGCACACCACACGGTCTCGCTCACACCAGCTTCCTCTCTTGGCTCTCTGGGTCACTCTCTCATGGGGTCTCTCTCTCTCTCTCTCTCTCGGGGTCTCTCCCCCTCTCTCCCGCTCCCCCTCTCGGGGTCTCTCCCCCTCTCTCGGGGTCTCTCCCCCTCTCTCGGGGTCTCTCTCCCTCTCGGGGTCTCTCCCCCTCTCTCGGGGTCTCTCCCCCTCTCTCGGGGTCTCTCCCCCTCTCTCGGGGTCTCTCCCCCTCTCTCGGGGTCTCTCCCCCTCTCTCGGGGTCTCTCCCCCCCTCTCGGGGTCTCTCCCCCCCTCTCGGGGTCTCTCCCCCCCCTCTCGGGGTCTCTCCCCCCTCTCGGGTCTCTCCCCCTCTCGGGGTCTCTCCCCCTCTCTCGGGTCTCTCTCGGGGTCTCTCCCCCTCTCTCGGGGTCTCTCCCCCCCTCTCGGGGTCTCTCCCCCTCTCTCGGGGTCTCTCCCCCTCTCGGGATCTCTCCCCCTCTCTCGGGGTCTCTCTCCCCCTCTCGGGATCTCTCCCCCTCTCTCGGGGTCTCTCTCCCCCTCTCGGGATCTCTCCCCCTCTCTCGGGGTCTCTCTCCCCCTCTCGGGGTCTCTCCCCCTCTCTCCCGCTCCCCCTCTCGGGGTCTCTCCCCCTCTCTCCCGCTCCCCCTCTCGGGGTCTCTCCCCCTCTCTCCCGCTCCCCCTCTCGGGGTCTCTCCCCCTCTCTCCCGCTCCCCCTCTCTCCCCCTCTCTCTCTCTCTATATATATATATAAACACATAATATTTATTACCTGTTTCTCTCAGTCTCTGACCAGCGGCCCACAACGGTTTTGCGGCTGCGCGAACTCACGTATCTTCCGGTAGCAACCGGAACACAGCCCATAGCCCCGCCCCCACTCACAGCCCCGCCCCCCACATAGCCCCGCCCCCCACACACAGCCCCGCCCCCCACACACAGCCCCGCCCCCACACACAGCCCCGCCCCACACACACAGCCCCGCCCCCACACACAGCCCCGCCCCCACACACACAGCCCCGCCCCCCCACACAGCCCCGCCCCCCCCACACAGCCCCGCCCCCCACACACAGCCCCGCCCCCACACACAGCCCCGCCCCCCACACACAGCCCCGCCCCCCACACACAGCCCCGCCCCCACACACAGCCCCGCCCCCACTCACAGCCCCGCCCCCCACACACAGCTTCCCCCCCACACACAGCCCCGCCCCCACTCACACAGCCCCGCCCCACACACACAGCCCCGCCCCACACACACAGCCCCGCCCCCCACACACAGCCCCGCCCCCACACACAGCCCCGCCCCCCACATACAGCCCCGCCCCCCCACACACACAGCAGCCCCCACACTACCCCCACGCACAGCCCCCCCCACATAGCCCCGCCCCCCCACACACAGCCCCGCCCCCACACACACAGCCCCGCCCCCACACACACAGCCCCGCCCCACACACACAGCCCCGCCCCCCACACAGAGCCCCGCCCCCCACACACAGCCCCGCCCCCCACACACACAGCCCCGCCCCCACACACACACAGCCCCGCCCCCCACACTACCCCCACGCACAGCCCCCCCACATAGCCCCGCCCCCCCACACACGGCCCCCACATACAGCCCCACCCCCATACACACATCCCCGCCCCCATACACACAGCCCCGCCCCCCCATGTAGCCCCGCCCCCCCCACAGCCCCGCCACACAGCCCCCACACACAGCCCCACCCCCATACACACACAGCCCGCCCCCATACACACAGCCCCGCCCCCCCATGTAGCCCCGCCCTCCACATAGCCCCGCCCCCCACAGCCCCGCCACACAGCCCCCACACAGCCCCACCCCCATACACACACAGCCCCGCCCCCATACACACAGCCCCGCCCCCCCATGTAGCCCCACCCCCCACAGCCCCGCCACACAGCCCCCACACACAGCCCCACCCCCATACACACACAGCCCCGCCCCCATACACAGCCCCGCCCCCAATCCGTACAATAATAAGTCACGTCTTCAAGCCGTCTCAAGCGTTTCACAGAATATACTGTAAAGTGTAGTGACTGTATGTCGGGAGCGAAACACCTCAGCTAATTGCGCACAGCAATGACCCACAAGCAGTCGTGGGTTGAAGTGACCAAATTATTATTATGTATATTGTTTAAGGAACTTTTACCCTTGGACTAACAACCGGCTTCCTGCTAAACAGAGGTGTGGAGAAAGGAATCTTGCCCAACATAGCGCTGATGGTGATGTTCGGACCCAGACAGGAGCACACACGTGGCTGGTTGCAGAGTCAGAAGTTTATTAAAGTTGTTTCATGTTTTCTGACATCCAGTGTTAGGCTGAGGGTGGATGTGAGGGTGTGGGTGGGGGTAAGGGTGGAATATAGGTGGTGACTGTGGGGTTGAGGGTGATGGTGAGGGTATGGGGGGTGATGGAGCGGGTGGGGGCATGCAGGGTGAGGGTAGGGGTGATGTGGGGGTTTGGGTGTAGGGGGGTGGGGGGGTGACAGTGAGGGTGGGATGGTGCAGTTGAAGGAGTGAGGGAGGGTGGGGGAGGCTGGGGTGAGGATGAGGGTCAGCCCTGTTCTGGGACCTCACTAGATGCTGTCACACGGATCAGAGATGCGTCCCATGAAGACGATGCTGTTGATGCTGACCTCGCGTATGAAGAGCAGGAAGGGAATGTTTGCCATGAAGGTCTCCACTCCTGGCCGGAGCGAGCGGCCCGTCATGTACACTGAGGTCACTGCTGCCGCCTCACTGCCCTCCTCATTCACCTGCCAATCACACCATCACATCGTCACACCACAACCACAAATTACATTCGCACAGCGGGAGGACTTGGGGGGGCAATGGGCGGTGAAGGGTTTGCACTGAGCTGTGGGTTGGTATCGGGAGGGATGGGGGAAGAGGGAGCGGGTCTGTAACCCTGACCTGGGAGTGGATGCAGTGTAAAGGGAGCTTTACTACTTACCTCCAGAAAAGCTTTGTGAAAAGCGTCAGACACGTAGAGACCATCACTTAATCCATCGACCAATCCTGAGAAGAGAAAATAATTATCCTTTGATTGATGTTCTCAGCCTGTGTGTGTGTGGTGGTGGGGGGGGCGAAATGCTGTGCCTGTGTGGGTGTGCTGTGCCTGTGTGGGTGTGCTGTGTACGTGTGCTGTGTACTTGTGCGGTGCCTGTGTACGTGTGCTGTGTATGTGTGCGGTGCCTGTGTGGGTGTGCTGTGTCTGTGTCCATGTGTCCTGTGTGCCTGTACTGCCTCACTGGGGTACACACCCTGCAGGTTGGCTTTCTCCGGGTTGAACAGGTCCAGGAGCCCCATCTCCTGCAGCGATTCCTTCACACTGAAGGAGGTCTGGACACGGAACTTGGGCAGTGTGAGGTCCACAGTCTGCGAGCGCAGGCTGGACAGCCACAGGTCCAGCTTCTCAGTGTTCAGCTTACTCTCCACCTCAAACAGCGAGACCCTGGGCAGCGGCAGCACTAGCACCATGGTGACCTTCCCTGTGCCGTACGGCAGCTCTATTACCTTCACCCCATCTGCGGGGAACCTGCCGAACCTAAAGGATGAGCTCTGGTACATCATGGGCGTCTTGCAGTGACTCGTGGCGTTCCTGTAAAAATCCATGACGGTCGTGACTTCCTTATTAAACGTGGACTTCCACCAGCCCTGTGGGTGGGGGGGAGAGGCGCACATCAGATACTACACAGCAACCAGCATTACCACCCGTACCAACCTACCCCTAACCGCACTGCGTGTGTGTCCCCAGCCCTCCCCTAACCCGCCCCTCACTGCGTGTGTGACCCCAGCCCACCCCTAAACCCCCCCTCACTGTATGGTTCTGACCAGTGTTGGGGGGAGGTCCAGAGGAGGTGGGTGGCAGTGGGAGCAGGGTAGTGAGCAGTGTATGTGTGTGTGTGGGGGGGGGGGGCAGGGGGAACGGGTACCTTGAAGTAGATGGCGTTGACGAGCACCAGTGCGGTGTTGGAAGTCAGGGTATTCTCTGGCACCACGTCCTGGATCCGCTGCTCTGTGTGCTCAGCCACCCAGCCATTAATCACCGCCCGAGCCTGCTCCGGCTGGTACTGTTAGCACAGCACAAGACAGCCCAGCACAGCATAACAGTGTAGCACAACACAGCCCAGCACAACATAACACAGCCCAGCACAAGACAGCCCAGCACAGCATAACACAGTCCAGCACAAGACAGCCCAGCATAACACAGCGTAGCATAACACAGCCCACCACAACATAACACAGCCCAGCACAACACAGCCCAGCATAACACAGCCCAGCACAAGACAGCCCAGCATAACACAGCGTAGCATAACACAGCCCAGCACAAACAGCCCAGCCCAGCATAACACAGCCCAGCACAACACAACACAGCGCAACATGGCCCAGCACAGTATAACATGGCCCAGCACAACACAGCCCAGCATAAGATAGCACAACATAGCAAAACACATTAATAATACTGTACAATACAAATTGCATCTGAATAGTAATCCTTGCCTTTGATACAGTGCCTGATCATGTCTCATACTTCTCTCAAAAGCGCTTCACAGAATATACTGTAAAGTGAATTGACTGTATATTTTGTGGGCGAAACTCAAAATATACATAACATTATTAGATTTTATAGATTACATTGACTGATTGGTAGATTGCATTGATAGATTCCATTAATTTGATAGATATAACTAATTGATAGATTGATTACAGTGTTAGATTGATTACAATATAGTTTGATTGCATTGATTGTGGATTACATTGATAGAATGATTGGTAGATTACATTGATTTGATAAATTGATGGCTTTGATTGACAGATTGCATTGGTTACATTGATAGATAGATGACATTGACAGACAGAAAACATTGAGAATGCCTCAGGCAGGGAGTCGGGTTGTCACAGTCAGGGTGATCAACAAGCCTCGGGTCACCAGTGTAAAACATCTCAAAGGGATTCGCACGCTCAGCTGCTCGCTTTCTCCCCTCACAGTCAGGAGATTGTGAGTTCGAGCCCACATTGGGCACTCTGAGCTCACAGTCCAGACTTGACACTCCAGTGCAGTGCTGGGGGGAGAGAGCGCCGCACTGTCAGAGGTGCCGTCATTCAGAGATTGACCCCAGGTACCCTAATGCCTGGACAGGTGGACGAAAAGACAAGGTCTCAATTCCTGGTACTGTAGCTGACACCCGCTCCGCCCCCCCCCCCCCCCCCGATTAAAGTCTATTTTTGTCTAAAGAAACAGTCTCTACACTGGAGAGAAATTGCTGGTGGCAGACACCTCAATGGCTTCTCTTTCTCCACGTTACCTTGAAGTTGACAGGGATGATCTTGGCGTTGTACACGGCCTGGCTGATGTTCTGGAAAGTCTGGTTGAAGTTCAGAGACTGCTCCCCAAACAGCCTGTTTGCAGACACCAGCTCGGAGGAGCCGTTGATTTTACGGTAAAACCGGCAGTTCAGTTTGGCAAAAAAGTAATGAGTTTGGTCCGAGGTCTTCTCTGCGATCGTGTCAAACTTAAACACCTGGGGGCGGTGGGAGGGCATCATAGTCTCACTCCAATCCAAGGTGGGTTCCCCCCACCACACACACACACAGCCCCCCACCACCACACACAGCCCCCCCACCACACACACACAGCCCCCACCACACACACAGCCCCCACCACACACACACACAGCCCCCCACCACACACACAGCCCCCACCACCACACACACACACACAGCCCCCACCACCACACACACACACACAGCCCCCCACCACACACACAGCCCCCCACCACACACACACACACAGCCCCCCACCACCCACACACACAGCCCCCCACCACCACACACACAGCCCCCCACCACCACACACACAGCCCCCCACCACACACACACACAGCCCCCCACCCACACACACAGCCCCCCACCACACACACACACAGCCCCCCACCACCCACACACACAGCCCCCCACCACACACAACCCCCCACCACCACACACACACACAGCCCCCACCACACACACACACACAGCCCCCACCACCACACACACACACACAGCCCCCACCACCACACACACACAGCCCTCACCACCACACACACACACAGCCCCCCACCACACACACACACAGCCCCCACCACACACACACACAGCCCCCACCACACACACACACAGCCCCCACCACCACACACACAGCCCCCCACCCCACACACACACAGCCCCCCACACACATGCTGGGTGTGAGTTGCCAGGTGGATTGTACGGAGCCACGTGAGTGGCGCTGACTGACCTCTGTGAGCTGGCGCAGGGTATCTCCGCAGGCAGCCAGCTTGGTCATGGCGAAGGCCGTGGAGATGCTGAGTGGCGACAGGAAGATGTTGTTGACAGGCGTGGCGTCCGCTAGGTGCTGGTACAGCCGCAGGGCGAATTGGGTGTTGGCATTGGACAGCGCCCAGAGCCGGGGATTGGTATTTGGGGGGCCCGCGGCTTGTGGGCCCCGCTGGCCAGGGGCCCTGTACTGGCACAGCGGCTGCCCCGGCAACTCACTCAGCCGCGAGGTACAGTGGCTCATGTCAGGGTGTGTGGCCTCAAGAGCCACCGTCACCATCACCAACACCGACACCAGCACAGCTACACCCGGCATCCTGACACAGAACAGAGCAGTCACACCCAGTGCACACACACACACACCCAACATACACACCCTGTGCGCACACCCAGCACGCACCCAACACACACCCAACACACATCCAACACACACCCTGTGCACATATCCAGCACACACCCAACATGCACAACCAGCACACACACACACAAAATACATCCCGTGTGCACACCCAAAATACATCCAGCGCACACACACCCAGCACAGTGCACACTCCCAGCACAGTGCACACTCCCAGCACAGTGCACACCTCTAGCTCCCACCACACACACACACAACACACCCAACACAGGACACACACCCAGTGCACACATCCAGCACGCCCACACAGCGCACACACAGCACTCACACAGCGGGTGCGCATACCCAGTGCGTGCACCCCCCCCCCTCCCAACACGCGCACCCCCTCAGCAGACAAACACGCATGCACACAGTGGACGCACACCCAGCACGCGCACACCCAGAGCGCATATACATATCCAGCGCATGTACATACTCAGTGCATATCAGCCCAATGTACACACACCCAACACACAGGACCTACATCCTTTACTGCTCACCTCTATCGGTAGCTCTCAGTTTCTCTTGTTGTCTCGTCTTTTTCTCTCACCCTGTTTTGCTCTCGATGTCTCTCTCTTTTGCTGTCTGTCTGTGTCTCTGTCTCCCAGTCTGTCTATCGTGCAGGCTCTTTTTCGCTCTCGCTGTCAGGATCTTGGGAGTAAACAGGTCATTGACCCATCTCTCAGATAACAGCACAATGCAAACACCACAGCCCCCAGAGGCAACACACAGCACCGTGTGCGTTTTGTGTTTGTTTGTGGTGTGTCTGTGTTTCCTGTTTGTCCCTCATCCCCTCTGCTCCACTATCGGTGGCCGTGCCTTCACCCTGAAACTCTCACAATCCCCGCCTTGCCCTCTCCTTGACCACCTTCAAATCCCACCAAAAGACCTTTTTGATCGTGCTAATGATCTCCTCCCCACCTCCATCTCCCCGCGGCTCGTTGTCGAGACTCTGTCAAGCGCTCCGAGACACTACCCCACTGCAAGGGCACTCTATAAATGCAAGTTGCTGCTCTTTGTGGGAGTATGGGTGCAACCATTGCTCACAAACTCGGACTCCAGGTAATGCTGAGCCTCAGTTTCCTCATCAGCCAACTGGTGGACATCTGCCTTCAGCGTGGTGGGAGGACCTTTCCAGGACAGGTTATGACGTGCCAGGCACCTTGATGTTCTTGAGGTCCAAGTCCAATTGGTCCTAAAGGTTGCCTTACCCCCTCCCCCCCTTGTCCACACACAGTTACTCTCTCCAGTGCTGAAGCAGATTATTTTTGTATTGTACAAAGGAAAACCAATGTTCACACAGTGAATTCTTTACACAGAAACAGAGCTAGATTCCATGTGGGAAAGAGATATCTCTAAACATTCCAGACTGGAGCATATCAACAACATTTTCAAGAAATTTTTTTTTAACCTTAATTTAAGAAAACTAAACAACAAGCTGAGGTGAGAGAAAAGCAGCGAGGAGTCAGTCTGTCTGTCAGCGCACCTGAGAGTGGGACTTCCCTGTCCCACTGTCAGCAGCCCAGCTACACCCACCCACATCCACACCCAACCACACCTGCACCCACCCAGCCACACCCATACTCAGTCACACCTGCCTTCACCAGGTTACACCCACCCACAGCTATACCCAACCACACCTGCACCCACCCAATCACACCCACCTACATGCAGACACACCCACCTACAGCCAGCCACACCCACCTACACCCAGCCATAACTACACACACAACCAACTACACCCAGCCACACCCATCTACATCCAGCCACAATGACACACACAACCAACTACACCCAGCCACATCCACCTACACCCAGCCACACCGACCTACACCCAGCCACATCCACCTACTCCCAGCCACACTGACCTACACCCAGTCACATCCACCTACACCCAGCCACACCGACCTACACCCAGCCACACCGACCTACACCCAGCCACATCCACCTACTCCCAGCCACACTGACCTACACCCAGTCACATCCACCTACACCCAGCCACAACTACACCCAGCCACATCCACCTACTCCCAGCCACACCGACCTACACCCAGCCACATCCACCTACACCCAGCCACATCCACCTACACCCAGCCACAACTACACACACAACTACACCCAGCCACATCCACCTACACCCAGCCACACTGACCTACACCCAGCCACGCCCACTTACATCCAGCAAAATCACCTACACCCAGCCACACCTAGCTCCACTAACACCCAGCTATGCCCACTGCCGATGAGCCAGGCTGGCCTTAGCCTGGCCGGGCTGAGCTGCCTCAGCAGTGAGTTTCAGGTACATCACGCGGCTGACTTTCTGGCCTGGCACCATGTTGCTGGGCTGTGCGCTGCCTCGCTGGCTCCTCCTCACTTCAAGCAGCGAGAACTATTTCTTTTAAAATAAAAGGTTCATTTATATCAGATAATTAAAAATGACGACCCTCCCCTACAACAACGCTCGAAATCCAAGCAGCCTGCGGGGGGGGGCGGGGGGCCGGGCAGCCAGGCTCCGGGGCACATTCAATGTGAAAGATACGTGAGCCACAGCTGCCCAAACCTACCCAGCCTGGCGCTCGCTCCATGCTCAGCTTACATACAGCGGCCAACACTGGGGGCTTTGATTGGGAAGGGGGGGGGGAACAGCAATGGAGGAGGCGAGAGCAATGGGGGAGAGAAATAAATCGGGGCGGAGCAATGGGGGCAGAGCAACTAGAGGGAAGCAATTAGGGGGGAGCAACCAGGGGAGGGGTAGAAGCCAGCGGAGGGTTAGGGTTTGGGGGGGGGATGTGGGAGGGGCAGAGGTCGGGAGAGTCCTGTCAGTTGTTTCCACTCAGTGGAAAAGCGTCTGGCACGGCTGTGACAGGTTGGTTACAAGGTGAGGTGTTGTCAGCAGATTACTCAGCAATCAGGGGGTGGGAGACCTCACTATGAGCCTCCGCGCACACAGCTCCTACAGTTAGTGAAAGCTGGAGTCCGCGGGGTGGAGGCCGAACACTGTCCGCCCACGGCTGCTGTGTGCCAGGCTGCTGGGCGGGCACAGGCGATGGCGTGGGTGAGGCCCCATTGTGATGGCTGTGACAGCGTTCTCCACTCTCACTGTCTGTCACCAGCGTCAGGGCACTCACTGTCCTCTCAGCGATGAAACTCAGCTCTGCCACCATCGACCCCTCACTGCAGTAACAAGAGCAAAGCATCAGAAACACAGGGCCTGCCCATCACACAGTAATTAGTATTTATATTGCGCCCTTCACACAGAGGAACATCTTGGAGCACTTTGTTTTTGGTTAGCCAGGTATCTGACACATGCGGAAACCTATCACCATACTTATCCAAATATGGTGGAGTATCCAAACCAAGCTGAGAATTCCATGCATTCCCACCTACACATGGAAATTCCAGAGATTGTTGGATTGTTGCAATGGACGCATCCTGCTTACCTAATTCCGGAGAGTTAGGCTTAGGTTGGCAAGAAACAAGGCTTTGGGACCCCAGAGTGTGCGTTAGGGGTAACTGCTGGAGTTAACCAGCTAAAACTGGCAAGGAGTGTGTGAGAGGTCGTGAGTGTATGTGTTGAATCAGCAGGTGGCAGCACAGCTCTGTGAGCCAGTGAAACCCATCACCGTGCTTTACGAATTCCCTCTACGCCACCAACACATGAAAATTACCCGAGTCTGGAAAGGAATGCGCAACTCTCTCCCTGGAAGGACATGTCCTCCTTACCTAATTCTGGAGAGTATTAGGCACAGATTGGCAAGAGCCAAGGGGGTAACTGCTGGAGTCTAACCAGCTAAAATCACATAGCTTGCCATTGATATTGCTGTCTGACGAGCTTTCCCGCTGCTTGTTGAACTAGGATCGCTCTACCCGTTAGAGCTTTGGTTTGCAGGGTTAACAGGAGCTGAGTGGGATGGCTCCTCTGGGCTGTGCTGCCATCAGCAGTGCCCTGGTATACTGCGCGTCCGCATGGCTTAGGAACTGGACTAGAGACCGTCACAGAGGGCTGCTTGATTCCGACATTCCATTGCCAAGCATGGCACCTTGGAGCCAGTTAAGCTGCAGGGCGGGGGTGCCCGGTAGAAGCGGGACTGACCTGTGGGGACGGGGCTGAGAGTCCTGGTTGCCATGTGGTTGGAGCTCGGGGACGTTCTCTGTGGCTCTGCACTGTACGTCCAGCAATGCCCGTCTCTGCTGGGAATACACACAGGGTTACAGCAGCCCCTCCCACTGCCCTTCCCATCACAGACCCGCCCACTACAGCCACCCCTACTGCCCCTCACATTGCCCTTCCCACTGTGGCCCCCTCCCACTGCAGCCCCTTCATTGCCTTCGTCACTGTGCTCCCTCTCACTACCTTTCCCACCGCGGCTTCTCCCACTACCCGCTGTGTGAGCGCTGACTGCTCACCGGCTCCAGCTCCTGCGTGCGTTTGCCGATTTCTCGCTCCACGTGGTACAGCTCACGGCTCAGCTGCTGGCGGGACAGGAGCGGGGAGGGTCCGGTCGGCTGCCAACCCAGTGCCTCCCTCTGCCACAACACCGGCTCCCCGGCAACCTGAAACCAACCGGGCAACACCCATCAACACAGACCGGCACCACAGCACCCTCCCATTACACCCCAACTCACCAACACAGCCCCATAACCTCCCATCAACACAGCCCCATAACCTTCCATTACACCCTAACAGACTCCCGACATCAACACGGAGGTGTCTCTGTTAATATCAGACCATATGGAGGAGTCTCTGTTAGTGTCAGGCCATATAGAGGTGTCACTGTTAATATATACAATGCTCAATGTTACTATCAGACTATATAGAAAAACCAAAGTACATTTATATAGCGCCTTTCACGTCGGGAGACAATCAGTGTTTCGGACACGAGTGGGGTGTCGGGATCGGGGAGGGCAGGGTAGAAGGAGGGTAGCGGAAGGCATTGACGAAGAGGAAGGTATAGAGACTGGTCTTGAAGGAGGCAAGGTAAGGGGCGAGGCAGAAGGACTGTGGGATGGAGTTCCAGAGGGTGGGGGCAGTATGACTGAAGTAAGGAAACCTGCCCAACGTTTCATCCTGCCTGGGAATGCGCTCTCGAGGCAAGTGCTCTAACCACTAAGCTATAGGACTCCAGACGTCACTGATATCAGACTGTATCAATGCGTGAGTGAGTGTGTGTGTGTGGGGTGGGGGGAGGAGGAGTGTGTGTGTGAGAGATGGAACTTGTCACGTACCTCCAGCTGATGTTGGCTGATCTGTTGGTTGACATACTGGAGCTCCAGTCTGAGCCGCTGCCTATCGTTACGTGTTACGTGTTGGTGTGTTTGAGCTGACGTGTCAGTCACACACAGCCTCTCCCTGTACAGAGTACATGCCTGTCACAAGCCAAACCAAACTGAGAATTCCATGCATCCCACCTACACATGGAGATTCCAGAGATAGATTGTTAGGATGGATTGAGCGCTCTCTCCCTGGAGGAACGCATCCTGCTTACCTAATTCCGTAAAGTATTAGGTGCAGTTTACCAAGAGCCAAGGCTGGGGACCTCAGAGTGTGCATTGGGTTATCTGTTGGAGTCTAACCAGCTAAAACCGCATAGCTAGCCATTGAGAGCACCGTCTTGCAAGCTTTCCTGCTGCTGGAATACTGCAGACCTGCCTGGTTCAGGAACCGGACGGGAGACCGTCACAGAGGGCTGGCTCAATTCCAACATTCGTTGCGAGGCATGTTACCTTGGAGCCAGTTCATCTCCGAGGAGATTCCAGTTACCTTCCCGCCTACCTGGATCACAAGAAATAATTTCCTCACCTTTCAACGAGATGCCCCTGAGTGGGGGTGGGGGTGGGGGTGGCACCCCACCCAGCGTGGCTCCTATACGCACTGTAATCTGTGGAGAGATTCACAGCTCAGTGAGCGAGAGACAGCGGTTACCATGGACACTGGCTGCTAACCCGTCTCATAGACAGTGAGGGGGGCAGTGAGTGGTGATGTACGTACCTGCAGTGCTGGTGTGTGTGGTGGGGAGGCCTTGGCCGGGCTGGTAGCTGACATTGGCAGTGCCCGGGCCGGGCTGGTAGCTGGGTTTGGAGGTGCGGGCAATGGCCCCGAACCTGGAGACGGTGGGCAACTCCCCGAAGGGGATGATGGGATCCTCCTCTCTCCCCTCGGCAGGGGCTCGAGGCCCCTCCCCTGCAGCCCGGCTCTCAGCGTCCTGACAACAACAACAACGGAAACTTACACAACGTCTCCCGGCTGACAAAGGACAGTGTGACCTGAGGCCGAGCTGTGGACAGTGAGGGGAGGGGAGCAAAGCCACGGTTGACGGTTGAAGAGGAAAGTCTTCAGTTGTGATTTGAAGATGAGCAAAGAGGGAGCGAGACAGGAGGCCTGAGGCAGAGATCCAGGGAGCAGAGGCCACCAACGAGAGACTTGGGATGGGGGAGGGGAGATTCTGTGGGGATTAAACATTCTGGTCAACCGGCAGAGACTGAACAATGTGACCCATGCCCCCACTCTCTTCCCCCTGCCCTCTCCAAGTCCGAGTGAGTGAGAGAACGAGTCTGAGTGAGCCTCACCATGGTCACGGCGACGGGCACCATCTCCTTGGGATGACTGTCTTTGCCGCCGATATACGATCCGATGGTGTCACATGACCAGGGCGAGTACTCGTGGGCCTTATAATGGCTGTTGGCTTTCACATCATCATCTGCACACTGAGCACACACACAGCGTGAGACCCACTGACACACACGGCATGAGACCCACTGCGTTCACTCATTATCAGCGCAGGTTTCAGGCTGAAGTAAAGGTTAGGATAAATAGCAGTGATTTGACAAGATCCTGTGGTCCTGTGAACCTCCTTCAACAGATGTTACAGGTATGGTTGGTTAAGAGTGTTTGATAGTAAACAACAACAACGACAAAAGGACTCCCAAGGCGCCGGACAATCAGGGTTTCGGACCCGAGCTGATGGTCAGGATCGATAAGGGTGGCGGGCAGAGGGGAAGGAGGGTGACCAAAGGCACAGTCAAAGAGGAAGGTCTTGAGATTGGTCTTGAAGGAGGCAGGGGAGGGGGCGAGGTGGAGGGAATGCGGGTTGGAGTTCCAGAGGGTGCAAGGCTGGAAGTGAGTTCTCACATGTCTGTCCAAATCACATCTACGATCAGCATTAGTGGTAATGAGCATCACAATGCTCCTCAGCACCGTGTCCCCAGACAAACCTGACCTAAACCTCACAACCTCACTGCTTAACCATACACACCCTCAGTCACTGCCTAACCATATACACCGTCAATCACTGCCTAACCACACGCACCCTCACTATCTCACCACACAGCACAGGCAGAGTGTGGGACAGTAGGGGGGAGGCTGGAGCTGGCGAACAGACTTTGGGGACAGACAGACAGGCACTGACCTGGGGATATGTGGCCAAGGGGAAGGATGGGGGTGAGACACTGCGACGCTCCTTGAGTTGAGCCATCAGCTCATTCCTGCGACGGTGAAGATAGTCCAGAGAGGGTGTCCGTCCATGGGGGTCCTACACACAGTGACACACACCGTCACACATACTGACACACACATCCTCACACACAGTCACACACACCATCACACACTGTGACACACACACCTTCACACAGTGACACACACCCTCACACAGTGTGACACACCATCACACACACCGTAACTCACACTGACACAGTGACACATCGTCACACACCCTCACACACACAATCAGACAGTGACACACACACTCACACAGTGATACACATTCTTATACAGTGACACACATCCTCACACGCAGTGACACAATCTGACATACCCGACACACAGTGAAACATACCATCACACACAGTCACATACCCTATAGTGTGGTCTCAGGTGCCGGTGGTGTGGGCTGGTCCCAGTGTAGTAATTGTCATGAGTGTAGGGGTCCCTGGGCTCCGGCCGGTAGCGGGAGACTGGGTGTTGGATGTCCTCACTGGGGTAGGGAGTGGGAGCCGGGTATGCTCGGTGCTCCTGACAGTGTGGGGGGAGGGGCTGTGGCAGGGGGTATGGGGGAGCCAGCGGGTACGGTGCGCTGCCCATCCTGTCCGTGTAAGCCACATACTGGTCCCGGTAGCCAGGCTCTGCCATGCTGCTCGGCCCCCGGTAATGTGGTACATAGGCCGTGAGTGGCCCCGAGGCGGGGGGGTAATACAGGCCTACAGAGAGAAATACGCAGTCACTACACCACCACAATCAGTCACTGCACCTCTAGTTACCTCCACACAGTCAATACACCCTTACAGTGACATTACCCCCACAGTCAGTCTCTACAACTATTCTCCGGGGCTGGGGGGGCGGTGGGTGGGAGGTAAGCAGTCTCCTTGGAGCTGAGCTGGTTCCAAGGTGACATGCTTGGTAACGGAATTTCGGAATCGCGCCAGCCTTCTGTGGCGGTCTCTAGTCCGGTTCCTGAGCCAGGCGGATCTGCAATATTCCAGGGCGCTGCTAACAGCACAGCCCAGCCTGGCTCATCAGCAGGACCTGAAAGGGCAGACCAATCACTGGGACAGGGAGTCAACCAACTCAACTTCCGTTAACCCTGCAAGCCAAAGCCCTACTAGATTGGGTGGTCCTAGCTGAACAAGCAGCGGGAAAGCTTGCCGGACAGCGATATTAATGGCAAGCTATGCAGTTTTAACTGGTTAGACTACAGCAGTTATCCCATCACATACTCATGGGTCCCCAAGCCTTGGTTCTTGCCAACCTGCGCCTAATAAGTTTTGGAATTAGGTAAGCAGGATGCATCCCTTCAGAGAAAAGAGTATGAATTCCATTCTAACAATCTATCTTGGATTTCCATGTGTGGGTGGAATGCATGGAATTCTCAGCTTAGTTTGGATACTCTTTTTAAGCATAGTAATGGGTTTCCGCATGTGTTAGATCAAAAAAAATCAGTCACTACACTACCTACAGTAAGTCACTCCATGCTCACAATTACTAATACAGGGGTTTGGGGTGGGTTATATATAGAGGGTGACCAAAAAGTCATGATACCATTACAGTATCTAATAAGTTGTCAAGAATTTGTTTTAGACATTAGGGTACATATCACAACTTTTTGGTCACTCTATAGAATAATAGGTCCTTGGAGTGAGTTACAGACTGGAGTCTAATTCAGAATCATCTTGACTGCCCCTAGTGGTGGTGATGGGGAGTGCAAGAGCTGTAAACACTGCACCCAGTGGTGGCAATTGGGAGTGTGAGAGCTGACAATACTGCCCCCAGTGGTGGCGATGGGGAGTGCTAGAGTTGCAGTCACATTCAGAGTGCAGGGATTGCATACTGGGGTGATAGGCCGCTGGTTTGTAGGGAGCAGTGGAACCGCGCGGGTCCTGGTAGTAAACATCTGGCTGCTGTGCAGAACCTCGGAGGTCCTGGTAGTAAACGTCTGGCTGCTGTGCAGCGCCTCGGAGGTCCTGGTAGTAAACATCTGGCTGGTGTGCGGGGGGGTACATGTGTGACCCCCGAGGTACCAGTTGTGTGTGCTTGGAGGCTGGCACAGGGGGCAGGTCAGGTGCCACTCGGGACTGAATGCTCGGCGGCACGGCCCCCAGCGAGCGCTTGGCTGGCATTTCCACTCTGCTGGGACACAGAAACAGGCATTACTCCGCAACCATCACTGCACCGTCTGAGTGACACAAGGTGTGTATGTGACACAGTGTGGTGTGTGTGAGACGCAGGGTGGTGCATGTGAGACACGGGTTGGGGTGTGTGTGAGACACAGGGTTACCATGAACCTCTCTCTATCCACTGGCACTGTTGCCATCCCCTTAAACACAGCTGTCATCACTCTCATCCTCAAAAAACCTTCACTTGACCCGTATCTGTTCTCTAACTACCGTCCCATCTTCAACCTTCCTTTCCTAGGTCATGGAACGAGTCGTTGTATCCCAGCTTTGCACTTTCCTAACCCACCATTCCTTGCTTGAACCTCTCCAATCAGGTTTCCGACAGCCTGGTCAAAATTATGATTGATATCTGTCCATTTGTGACCAGGGTTCTCTTTGTCTCCACGTCCTTCACAATATTTCTTCCACCTTCGATTCTGTTGATCACTCTATCCTCCTCCACTACCTATCCTCTCAACTCTACCTTCACGGTTCTGTCCTTGCCTGGTTTCACTGTTACCCATTATCTCCACCTTGTATCCACGAATGGTTTCTCCTCCAGTACTCACACCGTCTCCTGCGACGTTCCTCAGGGCTCTGTCCTTGGTTCCCTCCTCTTTAATATCTATATGCTATCGCTCAGGGATATCATCCGCAGACATGGGGTGAACTTCCACATGTATGCAGATGACACTCAACTCTATCTTTCTGCTTCCACCTTCGACTTCAGGACCACTGCTGTCCTGACAGAATGTCTGTCAGACATCAATAATAATAATCAAGTCCTGGATGAGAGCTAACTTTCTACAGTTGAACGTTGACAAGACCGAGGCTCTCCTGATTGACTCCCATGAGCGTCTCAACACCTCAGACGCTGACAGCATCACCATCCATGGATGCATACTCTACATCAGTGAGCCAGTCCGGAACCTTGACTGCCAACCATGACCATGTGTAGTGGGGGGGATTGGTGAGTGTCGGGATGGTTCGTGTGTGGGGTGTGTGTGTATGAGGCGGAGGGGGCAGTCCGCGTGTGTGTGTGTGTGGTGATGGGGTGTGACGGTGTGAGTGCAGGCGGTACAATGTGTGTCGGTGGGGAGGGGATGGAGCTCACGTGGGGCTAATGCTCAGCTCCAGATTTCCATCACAGTTGCCATCATTGCCGTGGGAGCCGATATTATGGCTGTCGTTGCTGGGGGTAACCGTGCTGTGGGGCGGTCCAGAGCTGGGCGGGGCCAGGGCTGTCGGGGGGGCAGCCAGCCGGCACACAGTACCCCGCCTGGTCCTCACCCGAAACCTGTGGGCATGTCACACACACCGTCAGCGTACGCCAACTGCACCGCGCACGCCAGCCGCACCGCGCACTACCAGCACGTGCCAGCCACACGCTAACACTCACCTCTCCAGCTCCTCCTGTGAATGAGCGAAGGTACAGCTGACTCCGCGCGGGCAGCCCCCGCCCTGCCGCAGGTCCCGGCACACACTGGTCTTGTACTTGCTGCTCTGGGCAGGCTGTGCCAACACAACACACCAGCTCAGCCTGACGCCCTGTCATCACCAACCCCCAGCCCCCTCCCCAACCTCAACCCCCTGCCCAACCCCTTCCCCCAGTTTCCTCCCCAAACCCCCTCCCCTGCCCATTACCTGCTGGGGGTCTGTGGCTCTCTTGCTGTGGTTGAGGATGAAGTCCCCCAGACCCTGCACCACCGTCTTCACAGCCACCAGACCAGCCTCCAGCTGCTCCCAGCTCAGTCCCCGCACCTCTGTTCATCACACAAACAAGTGTTAGAGTGGTCCCTAACCCCCCCAATCCCCAGGTTGAGAGAGGGAGTGCTGGGCACTGTAATGTGTGTTTGTGTGTGTGTGTGTGAAGGGCAGCTCGGGGCAGCCCTGGGCACTGTGTGTGTGTGTGTGTGTGTGTGTGAAGGGCCGCTTGGGGCAGCCCTGGGCACGGTACGCGTGTGTGAGCGCGCGCGCGGGAGGGGGGAGAGACGGGGACAGTGACTGGCAGTACCTGGACTTGGATCGATGTTTGCCAGTCTCTCCAGGTGGGGTCGGAGTTGGGTGAGATTGGCCGGGTCTCCCGTGCGCTGCAGGGCAATGGTCAGCTCCTGTACACTCTGAGCAAAGGAGGCTGGCGTCTGCAACTGATGAGAGAGCAGTGAATGCCCTCTGCCAGCCCTGACCCCAGCCGCTAGCTCTAACCCCCCCACTTCAGCCCCCAGCCCTCAGAACACCCGGGCCCCAACCCCCGGCTCTTTTTGGCAAATAGACATGCCCATTGTGTCAGCCTGGCACAGTGGTAGCACTCTCTCCTCTAAGTGAGAAGGTTGTGGGTTCAAGCCCCACATCAGGACTTGGAATCACATAGTGTAAGCTGACTCCAGTGCAAAGTTACTGCATCAATGGCCAGGCCTAAAGAGCATGTGGTCACCACCAACTTGATTGGAACAGAAAAGCTACTTGTAATAGGAAAGTCAGAGAATAACACTTGCATTTGGTATTGCACCTTATCACGTATGAAGGACGTTTCAAAGCGCTTCACCGGATTTACTGCGAAATGGAGGGACTATGCGTTTGAAAGAACCTGTGATCGTTCAAAAACGTAAAACATTTACCAGGCTGCTGTCTCACCTTGTCTATGATGGACTGCATGTGGGACTTGTGGGAGAGGTCTCCGTACAGCAGAGAGGACCACTGGTCGGGGGCAATGCGGAGGCCGGCTTCCATGGCGATCTGAACAATCTGCGAGTCGTGCTCACGCCGCAGAGCCTCATACACACGGAATTCCTCCTTCAGCTGCATCAGCGAGGAGTCCTCATCCCGCTTGGTAACCTACAGCCACGACAGCCATACAGTTACCGCCTGCGCCAGAGCAGGGCTCGACTGTACAGTCACCTCCCTGCCCCCACCCCGGCCCGCTCCTCCACCTGTGTCCCCCACCTCCCCCAGCCGAGCCCCCCACCCCGCCCACGTACTGACCTGGAAGCAGGAGGCCCGGTACAGGAGCTGCACCACGTGGCCGATGCTGGTTTTCGAGGCTGTGGGAAGCGAGGCTCCAGCCTCTGTACAGCAAACAGCACCAACACCTTCCTGCACAACGCCGAGCCGTCCTCCAGGGCCAAAAGCACCAGCTTCACAGCCTCCTCCTGCATCGCTGGGCACACAGACACCCCATCAGACAGTGAGAGACTATCACCCAGTGACTGAGAGAGATCCACGTTGCGCGACCCTGGGCAACGCTGTCCCGGCCTGGGCTGTCCCGGCCTGGGCTGTCCCGGCCTGGGCTGCGCTGTCCTGGCCTGCGCTGCGCTGTACCTGGTCCCAGGAACTGACAGCCCCTGGCCCTCACGGCTGCCCACAGGTTGGCTGAGAGTTGCTGCGGGTTCTGGTGTTGGAGGATGAGTTCGGTGACGGTTCTCTCGCCCAGTGACCGTGCCGCCCGCATAGCACGAGCCCGGCCCTCCTCCTCCACCAGCTGGCAGTGCAGCAGTGTCACCAACTTCCGCTGCACCGGCCGGCTAAGTGCGCTCTGTGTTCCTGCACCAGCACCGGGGCCCGTACCTGTAACCACACACAGGAAGGAATCTGACGCGGCAAAGCATGTCGGTGTGAAGCGGAGCCTGTTGCAACGGAGCTTGTCAGGGGTGGAGTATGTTGGGCAAGGTGGAGTCTGTCAGGGCGGGTTCTGTCAGGGCGGGGTCTGTTAGGCGGGGTCCGGGATCTGTCAGGGTAAAGTCTGTCAATTTGATTTGGAAGCAATGTCGTCCTTTTGGGTGCCGTGCTGACTTTTTGGGTGGGTGTTGGCCCACTTACCTCGGGTGCCACTGAGCGGCTTCAGGTAGAGCGCCAGCTCCTCCACACACTTCCTGGCTACCTCATAGTGCCCGCTGGCCTCCGCCCCTGGCCCCAGCCCACACTGCAGCTCCGACACCTGCACATCACAGTATATAACACAATCACCCACAAACACCATTGGGACCCCCACCCCCTTCATAACTCCACACATCATCAGCCCCCTCATATAGCCCCCACTCCCCACCTCACTCCCCTCATACCCCCCCCCACACACACACCCCAACCCCCTCATACCCCACAGCATCACCCCCCTCATACCCCTCCCACATCATCAAGCCCCTCATATCCCCACACACATCATCAATACCCCTCATACACCCACCTCTAATACACCCCCACGCCTCATACACCCCCACAGGCAGGGTGGGGGCGGTAAGGCGGGATGGGAGGGGAAGGCGGGGTGAGAGGGTGGGAGGCGGCAAGGTGAGGGGGGAATGAGGGGTGAAGTGAGGGGGGGGGGTGAGAAGGGGCAGGGTGAGTGGGGACATGTCTTGCTGACCTGAGCCCCCACCAGTTGCAGTAGGGCGGAGTTGACGGGCAGCTTGTCGATGTGTGTGTTGATGGTTGTGTGGTCGAAGGGACAGGCTTTGCGGTGGAGGTTGTTGAGGCAGATGGAGCAGAGTGTGTGGCCACAGCCCAGACTGATGGGCTTGCGTACATTCTCATCGAAAGTTCGGCAGCAGATTGGGCACGAGAGGAAGTCAGTCCATTGAGGAGCCTGAACAGGCATGGTGACACTCCACACCAGGGCTCAGCACATCAGCTCACACAGTGCCTCATCCATCACCTGCCACACATACAGCACGTCAACAAGGCCCTCTAGTGAGCACTTCAGGGGGTCATCACCTGCTTTCCTCTCCCCCCTCATACACACAGTCACTCCTCTCCTCCCATATACACACTGGCACCCCTTTCCTCACACACACAGTCACTCTTCTCTTCCCACACACACAGTCACATGCCCCCGCACACACAGTCAACTCATACACCCCCCACACACACAGTCAACCCCCACCGCACCCCCGCGGCATGCAGCCCCACACCCTCACAGCACACGCAGCTCACCCTCACCCCCCTGCACACATAAACACAGACCCCACTCAACCCCCCACCCCACACATCCTCGGCACACAGCCCCCATGCCGTCCCAGGTAAGTTCAGTGTGTGACTCCAAAGGAGACTCACCGAGCTGCACTGCGGTGCCTCGCAGCCGTCAGAGTTCAGAGCGCAGTGGGGAGAGCTGGCCGTGGGGGGCAGTGGGCAAACCCTCAGCCACACACATCAGACAGCAGTCAGGGCTTCAACCAGCTTCAGCGGTCCTGCTTTAGGGACACATGTGTGAGAATGAGGTTAGATTAGGGGAATGGGGTGGGGAGAGAGTGAGTTAGATTGGTGGGAGTGAGGGGAGAGTGCAGTTAGATTGGGGGAAGTGAGGAGAGAGTGAGTTTTTGGGGGTAATTTGGGTCTCGTTGAACTGGCTCCAAGGTGACATGCTCGGCAACAGAATGTTGGAATCGAGGCAGTCCTCCATGAAGGTCTCTAGTCTGGTTCCTGAGGTCGATGGGTCCACAGTACTCCAGGGCACTGCTGATGACAGCCCAGCCTGGCTCATCGGCATAACCTTGAAGGGCAGACCCGTCACAGGGGGCAGGAGATCATCCCATTCAGCTCCTGTTAACCCTGCTAGCCAAAGCCCTAGTGGGTAAACAGTGGGCAGCGGGAAAGCTTACCGGACAGTGCTCTCAATGGCAAGCTATGCAGTTTTAACTGATTAGACTCCAGCAGTTATCCCAACACACACTGTTGGGTCTCTAAGCCTTGGCTCTTGCCAACCTGCGTCTAATACTTTCCGAACTTGAGTAAGCAGGATGCGTCCCTCCAGCAGGACCACCCTCCCTGTTGAGGTGTTGACCTGCAGGGTTAACAGGAGCTGAGTGCGGAGAATCCCTGCGTATGTGAGAGTGTGTGTGACTGAGTTTGTCTGAGGGTGTATATGTCGCAATGTGTATGTCAGGATATGTGTCCCAGTTTGTGAGGGTGTCCCCCCCAGTGTGTGAGGGTGTATGTCTCAGTGTGTGTGTGTGTCTCAGTATGTCTGTGTGGGTGTGTGTCTCAGTGTGTGAGGGTGTGTGTCAGTGTGTGTGAGGGTGTGTGTGGTTGGGGGGGGGTATCAGTGTGTGTGAGGGTGTGTGTTAGGTTGTGTGTGTGGGTGGGTGTGTCAGTGTGTGTATTGGGGTGTATGTGTCAGTGTGTGTGTTGGGGTGTATGTGTGTGGGGGGGTGGGGAGGTGTCAGTGTGTGTGTGTGTGTGGGGTGTCATTGTATGTGTTGGGGTGTGTGTGTCACACTATACACACGCCCTGCTTGTCGAACTTCCCAACTCCTCCCTCCACAGGCTGGTTAATCCAGATAATCCACAACTCTGCAGCCCGTCCTCTCCCGCACCAAACTCCGTGACCCCATCTCCCCCACTCTCGCCCGACTCCATTGGCTCCCTATCCTTCAGAGGATCCAGTTCAAGATCCTGGTCCTCACCTACAAAGCCCTCCTTGGCCTCGCCCCACCCTACCCCTGCGACCTCCTAACCCCCTACCAACCCGCCCGTTCCCTCCGCTCAGCCGACTCTGGCTCCACGTCCCCCGAACCTACCCACCCCACCACTGGCGGGAGAGCCTACAACCACTCTGCCCCCAACCTCTGGAACTCCATTCCCCTCGCCCCCTCCTTAGCCTCCTTCAAGTCCCGCCTCAATACCCTCCCCTCCGACCATGCCATTGGTTTTTCCCCCCTCCCATATCCCCCCAACCCCAGCTCGGGTCTGAAATGCTGTATACTGTCCAGCGCCTTGGGACGTCCTCCCAACATGAAAGGCGCCATACAAATGTAATCTTGTTGTTGTTGTGTCAGTGTGTGTCATTGAGGGTGTCAGTGTGGGTCAGTGTGTGTTAGGGTACGTGTGTGTTAGGGTGTGTGTGTGGGTGTCAGTGTGTGTGAGGGTGGGTGTGTCAGTGTGTGTTTTAAGGTGTGTGTCAAGGTGTGTGTGGGGGTGTATGTGTGTGTGGGGGGGGATGTCAGCGTGTGTGTTAGGGTATGTGTGTGTCAGGATGTATGTGGGGGTGTCAGTGTGTGTGTCAGGGTGTGTGTGTTAGTGTGTGTGTGGTGGGGGGGGTGTGTGGGGGGTGTCTGTGTGTGTTAGGATATGTGTGTGGGGTGTCAGTGTGTGTGAAGGTGTGCGTGGGGGTGTGAAGGGGGTGTCAGTGTGTGTGAGGGTATGGGTTTCAGTGTGTGTAGTGGGGGTGTGTGTCATTGTGTGTGTGAGGATGTGTGTGGGGGCGTGTCAGTATGTATGTCAGGGTGTGTGTCAGTGTGTGTGGGGATGTGTGTGTGTAGGGGGGGGGCAGTGTGTGTGAGGGTGTGTGTGGGGGGGTCAGTGTGTGTGAGGGTGTGTGGGGGGGGGGTCAGTGTGTGTGAGGGTGTGTGTGGGTGTGTGTGTGGGGGGGGTCAGTGTGTGTGAGGGTGTGTGTTGTGTGGGGGGGTCAGTGTGTGTGTGGGGGGTGTGGGTGGGGTGTGTGTGTGTGGGGGGGGTCAGTGTGTGGGGTGTGTGGGGGGGGTCAGTGTGTGTGGGTGTGTGTGTGGGGGGGGGTCAGTGTGTGGGGTGTGTGGGGGGGTCAGTGTCTGTGGGGGTGTGTGTGGGGGGGTCAGTGTGTGTGAGGGTGTGTGGGGGGGGGGGTCAGTGTGTGTGAGGGTGTGTGGGGAGGGTCAGTGTGTGTGTGGGGGGGGTCAGTGTGTGTGAGGGTGTGTGTGGGGGGGTCAGTGTGTGTGAGGGTGTGTGGGGGGGGTCAGTGTGTGTGAGGGTGTGTGTGGGTGTGTGTGTGTGTGGGGGGGTCAGTGTGTGGGGGTGTGTGTGGGGGTCAGTGTGTGTGTGGGGGGGGTCAGTGTGTGTGAGGGTGTGTGTGGGTGTGTGTGTGGGGGGGTCAGTGTGTGGTGTGTGGGGGTCGTGTGGGGTGTGTGGGGGTAGTGTGTGGGGGTGTGTGTGGGGTCAGTGTGTGGGGTGGTGTGTGGGGGTCAGTGTGTGTGTGGGGTCAGTGTGTGTGAGGTGGCAGGTGTGTGTGGGGGTGTGTGTGGGGGGGGGTCAGTGTGTGGGTGTGTGTGTGTTCAGCTGAAGTCCTGACCTCAGGCCGCGGCTACTCACCTCCACCAGTACCCCTCAGCGCCTCATACACAGCCCCGGCCTCACACACACAGCCCCGGCCTCACACACACACACAGCCCCGGCCTCACACACACAGCCCCGGCCTTACACACACACTGACCCCCCCACACACACACACAGCCCCGGCCTCACACACACACACAGCCCGGCTTCACACTCACACTGACCCCCCCACACACACACAGCCCCGGCCTCACACACACACACAGCCCCGGCCCTACACACAGCCCCGGCCTCACACACACAGCCCCGGCCTCACACTCACACACACACACAGCCCCGGCCTCACACACACAGCCCCGGCCTCACACTCACACACACACACAGCCCCGGCCTCACACACACAGCCCCGGTCTCTCTCACACACAGCCCCGGCCTCACACTCACACTGACCCCCCCACACACACACACAGCCCCGGCCTCACACACACACACAGCCCCGGCTTCACACTCACACTGACCCCCCCACACACACACACAGCCCCGGCCTCACACTCACACACAGCCCCGGCCTCACACACACACTGACCCCCCCACACACACACAGCCCCGGCCTCACACACACACACAGCCCCGGCCCTACACACAGCCCGGCCTACACACAGCCCGGCCTCACACACACAGCCCGCCTCACACTCACACACACACACAGCCCCGCCTCACACACACAGCCCCGGCCTCACACTCACACACACACACAGCCCCGGCCTCACACACACAGCCCCGGTCTCTCTCACACACAGCCCCGGCCTCACACTCACAGCCCCGGCCTCACACACACAGTCCCGGTCTCTCTCACACACACAGACACACAGCCCCAGACTCACACACACTCCCGACCTCACACCCACACACACAGCCCCGCGGCCCTACACAGCCCTCTCACACACACACATACACACACACAGCCCGGATCCGGTTTCTCTCATTAATATCTTCCGCGGGGGTTTCACCCGGACATTAGCGCCCCCCCCCGACCCCCCCCACCCACCACTGACACCCCCCCCGACCCCCCCCCCACTGACACCCCCCGACCCCCCCCGACTGACACCCCCCACCGACCCCCCCCCACTGACAACCCCCCCCCACTGACACCCCCCCCCGACCCCCCCCCACCCACTGACACCCACCACTGACCACCCCCCCCCCGACCCCCCCCACCCACTGACCCCCCCACCCACTGACACCCCCCCCACTGAACACCCCCCCCACTGACACCCCCCCCCGACCCCCCCCACCCTGACACCCCCCCACCCGACCCCCCCCACGCCACTGACACCCCCACCCACTGAACCCCCCCGACCCCCGCCCCACTGACACCCCCACCCCGACCCCCCCCCACTGACACCCCCCCCGACCCCCCCCCCACTGACACCCCCCCCCACTGACACCCCCACCGACCCCCCCCCACCCACTGACACCCACCACTGACACCCCCCCCCGACCCCCCACCCACTGACCCCCCCACCCACTGACACCCCCCCACTGACACCCCCCCCCCACTGACACCCCCCCCGACCCCCCCCACCCACTGACACCCCCCCCCGACCCCCCACCCACTGACACCCCCACCCCACTGACACCCCCCCCCGACCCCCCCACTGACACCCCCACCCCCCCCCACCCACTGACACCCCCCCCACCACTGACACCCCCCCCCAGACCCCCCCCCACCACTGACTGACCCCCCCCACAGACACCCCCCCAGACCCCCCACCCATGACACCACCCCCCCCGACCCCCCCCACCCACGACCCCCTGACACCCCCACCCCCACTGACACCCCCCCGACACCCCCCACTGACACCCCCCCCCACCCCATGACACCCCCCACTGACACCCCCCCATGACACCCCCCGACCCCCCCCACCCACTGACATCCCCCACCCACTGACACCCCCCCCCGACCCCCCCCCCACTGACACCCCCCCCCACTGACACACCCCCCAC